GCATGTGTGGCGACACATGTCACATGTCAACGTATGACGTCACAAAATCCTACATTGCACATGCGAAGTTTACAATCGAATTAACACGAGAAGAAAATCCCAACGAACAACTGTTAGGCAGAAAGCCCACCAGGCACGATCATCTCGCCTGGTTCCTTCTTTTCCGATCTTAGGGAACTATTCTCTCTGTCTCTCTGTTCCCTAAACATGAAAGTGCGGCTTCAAAACCTACCAACAGCTAGTACCAAGATTATCTAGACACCGGTAACTGACAAAGGTGAAGGAAAACATCGTGAGGAAATCTGGGCTTATAATTTCTAATTATAAATTTGAAATCGTCAACCCACAACGGCGATGTAGGCTGCGCGACATCGCCGCGACCGCGCATGCTGCTCATGAGGAAGAACCTTTCTGTAGTTCGAAATTAGTAGAGCTTTTCTCGGTATATTCACGTGAGTAACCCCCGATTTTTAGTTAATTTAAAATTATAGTGACTTAATTTGACCCAAACAAACAAATGGGTGAGGCAAAATGAAACCGTTTAAAACTTATAATTTCAAAGGAAAACAAAGTTTAACTCGTCGAGTACCGGTTTTGCAGACACAATTATAGAACAATAGCTTGCGGTCACCGGTGACCGCTTGGTATTTGACAGTTTAAACCACGCAACTGTTAGATATTACATAAATTACACAGACAAAGTAATAAATGTGTTCGTAACAAACAAAGTTTCAAACAATTGCATTGCGAACCAACTTCTAGCTATTCTGGCAACAGACAACATAGCGGGCAAACCTTATCTTCTATCGCTCACTGTCCGTTTGATGGTTGTTAAGTGAATAAATGGCTTTTTTTTCCATGTTACAGAGTTTGTTTTTGATTGTCACTTGTAGTTGAGATAAGATATCAGCGTTTAAATGTCCAAGTGCACGAAGAAGGTATGACTTTTGATAGGTCTTGTAACCTACAAATGGGGTTATTGATTCAAATTTAGACACTACATAAGTGTCTAAATTTGAATTTGTCATTTTTTTAAGAATTATCACGACAGTGTTACTTCATTGTAAGTCAATAGTATTTATACAAATATCACGAGAGAGCTCTTGAGAGAGCCCAACTACCCCCCTCTCCCCTTTCCCAATCACCCCAATCCCATAATCCCCTACAATCCTTAAATTCCTTATCTCCAAAAGGCCGGTAACGCACCTGTGACCTCTGATGTTCCAGGCGTCCATGGGCGACGCGATTGCTTACCATCAGGTAATGCGTCTGCTTTTTTACCGGCTTATCCCATAAAAAAGAGAATAAAAGCAAGTACTAAAATCTTCATGTCTCTGGGACCAAAGTATTCAAGGTAATGTAATATAGTGCTAACAAATCAAATGGAATTGATCTATTTCGACCACCTAGCGTTCCTTAAATAGGTGCTAGTAGTGACTAACGAAGAAGTTCTAATAAAATAAAAATTATCGTTGTCTTAGTGATAATGTCGGTACATCCACGCACTACTCAAATTTAACCAATAAGTTTTTATTTAATAGTGATCACACTATTTAATTATTACTTTTTCTTTTCCAAGTAGATATACCACATCAAAAACATAAGGGCTACTGTCCACTTTCCGTCATTTATTTGACGATTGCATGCATCCTTCAAATGACGAAGGCAAATTTTGCAGGTGAATATATAAAAATGAATCCCGTTTCCCGTTGTCACGCCATAACTTGAGAACGGCTAGACCGATTTGGCTGATTTTTTTTTGTTGTGTTTGTTACTGTCTGAAGAAGGTTCTTATTACAGAAATAATCCTGAAAATCCTACAGGAACGGGAGAAAACGGGATTGCGCGTACGAAGTCGCGGGCAGAAGCTAATATTTTATATAAGTCACGCATGACGTGTGACGTTGCTGCAACGTCAATAGTTTTTCTCTACAAAATGCAAGCATTCGTCTTAAATTCGTCAATTGACGAAAGCGTGCGTATGTCGAGTGGTTAGCTGGATGGTGTAGCCCTTAGTTTCGTCTCACAAAAGTAATAACAAAAGAAAAATAAACATTAGAAAGACTTCTGAATACGAATTGAATGAAAAAGTTTGTTCCAAAAGTAATTAAGACCCCAAAAGTAGCATGTCATCAAGTATTGAAGCCATTTCAATTAGAAGAAGACAAATATAGGACGGACCAAGTGGACTTCGTCATTCTTATTTGTGTTTTCATAGATATTTTATTATTTGGCTAGTTAAGGTGTCGAAACCCATAAAACACCTTCGATCTCGTTGTGTTATTTTTCGAAATTGTAATTATCAAATAATATTAAACTGTTTTTTTTGTCTCATTGAAATACGATATTTTTATAGACTGCCTAAGTAATTGACAGAGTGACCGCAAGTGCGACTGAAGGTAAACGGGTCAAGGGGTCTCGGATTCGATTTCCGGGTCGGTATATGGCAATAGGCTCACCCCTTATTACATGGGACTCATAGCATAAATTGTACACTGTAATGACACTGCACAATGTAACAGGGTAGGGTAGGCACATTACGGCACATAATGAGGTGCCGTAATGTGCCTACCCCTTCGGGGATGTTATGTAATTGTATGTATGAAAAACATTCAAGACACAATGTGTTCCGTTTCTGAAAATTTTAATAATATACCATGTTCGAAATCTAATAAATCTTTGCTCAAATCACACAATCACAAACAGCCCTTAAATCCTGATTGCAATTTCGACAAATTTTATTGATGTACTTATAAATGCCTACGATGTCAATGGCTAATCTTTCAAATATATATAACAATGTAGGCACTATACACGTAAAGTCGTATCGGTTTCCAGAAATTCATAAAGATGAAGTTGAGAAACAAATCTAGAAAATGCTTGATCAAAATATTATTCGCCCTTCATGTTCCCCTTGGAATGCACCAGTGTGGGTAGTACCCAAAAAATTAGACGCTTCCGGTATACAAAAATGGCGTATCGTCATAGACTATCGGCGTCTGAATGATGTCACAGTTTCTGAGGTTTATCCTCTTCCCCTCATAACAGACATCTTAGATCAACTTGGTCATTCCAAATAATACTCCACGAATCTTGCATAGTCCAAAAAAATATTTACTATGATGTAATTTTACAGCTAAAACCTGAAGCATCCTTCTATCTCCATAGAAGTTTACGTCAAACCAATTCCACATAAAAATGTCTAAGAGTTTATTTTGAATTTATAAAAACACAAAACATTGTGCTTTGACATAATTGACGCACGCAGATTAAGTGATTACGTCAATGTAGTACTACTTCAAATAGTTTATTTTACTTCTAATTCTTCATTTGTTTTGTTTGTCGCTGTGAGTGTGGAGTTTAACCCCAATACTGAAAGGGTTCGAAAAACGCACGAAGCGTTCCTTGAGCGAATCGACAAATTTATTATTTTTATTTTTTTCATGGCATAAGCCGGTAAACGATCAGACGGATCACCTGATGGTGAGCAATCGGCGTCGCTCATGGACACCTGGAACACCAGAGGCATTACAAGTGCGTTACCGGCCTTTTGGGGATTAGGAGTTTAAGGATCGTTGGGGATTCAGGGATTGGAGAGGTTCGGGAAGGGGAGGGTAATTGGGCCTCCGGTAACCTGACTCACACGACGAAACACAACGCAAGCGATGCTTCACGTCGGTTTTCTGTGAGGCCGTGGTATCACTCCGGTCGAGCCGGCCCATTTTTACCGACTTCAAAAAAAGGAGGAGGTACTATGTTCGGTGTCCATGGGCGACACCGATTGCTTACCATCAGGTGATTCGTCTTTGCGTTTACCGGCTCATCCCATAAAATAAAATATAATGTTCTTTAAATCGGACAGTTAATTCCAGAAATAACTGGGCTCAAGCAAACCGATACAATAGACTAAATTTTATTTTAATGTCCATCTGGTACATTAACTTAAAACTTTAGACACGTATTTTTTCTCTTCTCACAAAATTAAATACTTTCGACCATATATTAATTTGTAATATCGTGGGACGTCACAGCGTGCCACATTTTATAGCACGTTATGACGTATCAACCTCCCAGTTCTAAACTTAGCGCCATTTTATCTAAGCATTGCGAATTAATGCGAGAAATTATAAAAATATGTATAATATAATTTTTTTATTATCTAACTGACGTACTAAATAGATTATTTTTTTTTATTTTGATACCCTGGAAACTCCCCAATTACAGATTAAATTTACTTTTACTTATTGAGTTATTCAATAGCTTTACGTCAAATGAAAATGCACAATCTTAAAAGAACATGTTTGTGTTTGAGTAACAAAATTAAGTGTGGGAGAGCCATGCTTCGGCACGAATGGGCCGGCTCGACCGGTGTGATACCACGGCCTCACAGAAAACCGACGTGAAGCAACGCTTGCGTTGTGTTTCGTCGTGTAATTGAGGTTACCGGAGGCCCAATTACCCTCCCCTTCACCAATCTCCCCAATCCCTGAATCCCCAACGATCCTTAAACTCCTAATCCCCAAGAAGCCAGTGACGCACATGTAACGCCTCTGGTGTTCCAGGTGTCCATGGGCAATGCCGATTTCTTACCATCAGGTGATCCGTCTGCTCGTTTACCGGCTTAATATGCCATAAAAAAACAAAATAATACGTAAAAAAACAAAATTTCATTGGAGAAAAACACAATTGCTACAGACAAAATACACCCGAGTGATGGTAAAGTTTTAAACACAGATGCGAGCAGGTCAAACTAATCCAATCTCTCTTTGGATTATCAACTTTATCGTCATGATACAAAGGCGAAAATCCTATGAATACTTTAGAGATAGGAGTAGCTTGATCTGCAGACCACTGTACTTGTTTCAGAGCATCTGTTCAGTGTTCAACCTCAAGTTTCAATAAAAAAAAAATACAGAAAAGTTTTAGAATTTTCTGGAAAGAATTTAAGATTGTTTCCTTCACATGAAAGTAGTGTATAGTATCTGTTGGGGAGAGTTTTTTGGACTGTATAAATGATGATGCTGATTAAAGGTACTGGTTTATTCGACGGAAGGTAGGTGTGCCTTTACAAATATACGGCGCGCAACGCGTACAGTGCTCACAGCTAATCGAGTCGAAAGGAACGGGCCGCGATCCTCGTCCTCGTATATGTTGATCCCCGCGCAGCGCTGTCCCCCCTCTGATGCCACCGCCAGTGCCGCCTCCATCGACGTCATCGAGATGTCCGAGACGTTTCCGAACATCCTGCCCGGGTTGAAACATCGTCTTCAATAGGTAAAGGACATATGTTGTTGAAAGCCCTTGTGATGTTGCCCTTCTTGGTTTTAATTTCCGCTACTCTCGTGACGCCATCAGCACCAGGAAACACCTTGACGATACGACCTAATAGCCAATGCAGTGGTTGTTGCGTTTTCTCTTTAATCAGAACCAACTGATTCACTTTAAGTTCGCCTGTGGACGCATGCCATCTAGTTCTCTGCTGCAACATGACAACATATTCATGACTGAATCGGTTCCAAAAGTGTTGCCGTAAATGTTCAATTCTTTTGTAGCGGTCCAATCGAGTGATGTTCACAGAATGTACCTGCGGCTGAGAAACGGATATTAGCGGTCGTCCAATTAAGAAATGCGAAGGAGTTAGAGCGGTAAGGTCGTCAGGAGACGAAGAAAGAGCAACAAGGGGGCGGGAATTCAATATAGCCTCAATTTGGACTAAGTATGTATTCATCTCTTCATATGTTAAATGAGAAGAATGAACAATAGTTTTTAAATGCCTTTTAGTAGACTTAACGGCGGCCTCTGTTATACCATTGAAGTGCGGACTATAAGGAGGAGTAAAACTAAACTTTATTCCTTCTTGTGCAAGATCGGTTCCTAAATTTGAATTAGTTAAGAATTGTGCAAGCTCATTAAATACGCCCACAAACGCTGTGCCGTTATCAGAGAGGATGCTGTGTGGTTTACCCCGACGAGCAACGAATCTCTTTAACGCAGCAAGATAAGCGTCTTTGGTGAGATCCGTCACAAGCTCCAGATGGACAGCCTTTACTGCCAAACAGACAAATACACAGATATAAGACTTAATGAGTCTGGTACCTCTGCCTTTACGGTCAGCTATCAGCATTGGTCCGGCGTAGTCTACACTACAATTATAAAACGGAAATTCAAGCTGTGTCCTCGTGGGTGGTAGTTGACCCATGATTGGTTGCACCGCCTGAGATCTAAATCGGAAACATTTGACACATTCTCTGAATGTACCTTTAGATAGATTTCTGCCTCCTAAAGGCCAGTAAGTTTGACGAATGTGCGATAAAAGAAGTTGTGGCCCTGCGTGCATAAGCTTAATATGTTCACGATGAAATAATATTTTTGTGATATGATGTTTACTATCTAGCAATATTGGATGTTTTGTGTCGTAACTATAATTAGCGTTATCTAACCTGCCACCCACGCGAATTACACCTCGATCATCCAAAAACGGAGACAAAGAAACAAGCCTATTTTTTCTAGATAATGGCCGTTTTAAACTAAGTGTTTTGTATTCGTCAGGAAACATTTCCATTTGACTGATACGTAATATGACAGTAAATGCCTCATTTAATTCATCACAAGATAAATGACCACACCGCTTGACTTTAGAATTTTTTAAATTAAAAACGAACCTAAGTATATAAGCGATTATACGTGTTAATATGTTTAAGTTAGATTTATTACTAATCAAACTACTAATAGCTGATTGAGTTGATTGACAACTGTCCACTAGGTGAACTTTAATTTCAGATATGTCGGGATTAGAACCTGTATTTGGTATTTTAGGCCAATGATCTTCACCTAATTTTAAAAAGTCTGGGCCCGACCACCACAATTTACAGGTGCCGATTTGATCGGCCCTCAGCCCGCGAGATACTAAGTCCGCCGGGTTCTCTTTAGACGACACGTATCTCCAAGAATTTTCCCCGGTACTTTCTTGTATCGCACTGACACGGTTACGGACAAAAGGCTTTAATTTATTCGGTGATGTAGATAACCAACAGAGAACTATCGTTGAATCACACCAATAATAAAATTTATTTATTTTAATAGTTAATGAGGCTACTACCTTTGCACACAGTCTTGCTCCCAACAAGGCCCCGCACAGTTCAAGACGAGGTATGGTTATATGTTTAATGGGAGCGATCTTATTTTTGGAAGTTAAAAGGTGAACTGTCGTTGTCCCATCATTATTTAGGCAACGAACATACACACATGCCCCATAGGCGCGCTCGGATGCATCTGTGAAAATATGCAACTCAATTGATTTATAATTAAAATGAAATGCATGCCGTTGTATATTTAAATTATTCAAATACGATAACGTAGTGACGAATGACGACCAACATTCTTTAGTCTCACGAGAAACCGGTTCGTCCCACGAACATTTTTCTAACCATAATTTTTGCATTGTCATTTTTGCCAATACCACACATGGTCCTACTAGACCTAATGGGTCAAAGATTTGACTAATGCAAGATAAAATGTAACGTTTAGTTATTTCATTGGTTGGAGGTAGATTTATAGAAAAAGTTAACTGATCTACATCGCAAACCCAGTTTAAGCCCAATACTTTAGAAGTGTTATGAAATTGATTACGATTTAAATCGAGAATGTTATTATCATACTGATCAAGGGATGATATTATAGCTTTTAACACTTGTGGGCTGTTAGATTGCCATTTCCTTAATTTGAATTGAGCTGATGCTAGAATCGAACTCACCTCCTTGCATAACTGTATGGTGGCGGACTCAGTGTCACTGCCCCCAAGATAATCATCAACGTACATGTCTCGTTGTATAGCTTGTTTTACGTCATCATTTGATGCTTGTGAAGCGAGACTTACGAGTGCCTTAGTCGCTAAATATGGTGCCGAAGCTGTACCATAAGTAACTGTATTAAGAACATAGGTTTTAAGCGGTTCATGTTGGTTAAATCTAAATAAGATTTTTTGTAAAGAGCGTTGAGATTTATTCAATTCTATAGCTCTGTACATTTTCTCAACATCCGCTGATACTATGTATCTATGTTGTCGAAAACGTAGCAAAATGGAATAAAGATCATCCTGTACGGTTGGACCGATCATTTGTAGGTGATTTAAAGAGATGCCTGAAGTTGTCACAGCTGACGCGTCAAAGACAACTCTTAATTTAGTTGTAGTACTTTGCTCGCGCATAACACCGTGATGTGGTAAATAATAACTTATGTTATCATTTGAATTATTAACTACAGACATATGCCCTAGTTGCAGGTATTCGCGCATAAAATCGATGTACCTACCTTTAAATAAGGGATCACGTTCAAATCTACGTTCGAGCGAAAGAAATCGAGCTTTCGCCATTTGGTATGAGTCACCTAAGACTTCAGGTGACTGTTTAAATGGCATAGTTACAATAAAACGCCCGTCTTCGCCACGAGTAGTAGTGCGCAAAAAATGTGCCTCACATGCACGTTCTTCGGCAGACAATGAATGTTTTTCTAATATTGAATCTAGTTCCCAGAACCGAGTGAGTTCAGGTTTTATTTCCTGCATGAAATTACACACTGGTTGGTCACGGGATGGACTAGGTTGCACAATATACCCAGAAATAAGCCATCCTAATTTAGATTCGTATAATCTAGGTTGATACTTTCCTAAATGTATTGTTTTAGTACCTAAAATATTCCAGAACTGTTCAGCACCTAGTAATATGTCTACGCTTGACGGTTTATAATAGTGAGGGTCAGCTAGACAGATGCCTGATGGCAGTGGAATAGTACTAATGTCAATTAATGTAGACGGTAATGATTTAGTTATCTCTGGTAATACTAAACAATCAATAGTTGTTTTAAAAATACCCGAGTAAGATTCAAAGGTTAAGGAACAAGACTGTGTGATTTTACAAGTTTGCTGGTTAATACCCGTTATTCTGGAGTTTACGTTACGTTTAAGTGAACCCAGCTTACCACACAACTCCTCAGTTATAAAGTTTGCAGTACTGCCGTTGTCCAGCAGCACCCTCGCTGCGTGGCTGCGGCCGCTGCTATCTCGCACCTTCACCCTCGCTGTGGAAAGCAATACGGTGGACGAAGTAGTATTCTGTATGGCTTTGGCAGTTAAAGTAACATTATCTGTTATTTGATTACTGATAGGCGGCTCACTGTCTTTGTCCACGTGTAACAGTGTGTTATGTTTTGCCTTACAATACTTGCACCGAGCCCACAATTTACATTTATTTTCGGAATGGCCCGGGTTTAAACAGTTAAGACAAACTTTATATTCTTTAGCCTTCTGATTACGAACGTCTGAAGTCAGTTTTCGAAAAATATCACACTTAAATAAAACATGACTTTGTTTGCACATAGGACAATTTGAGCTCGAACCTTTATTTGAACCATTATTGCAATCAGTTGATGTTACGGCAAAGCTTTTTTGTTTATTTAATTTATTGGTTGAAGTTTTGTTTTTATTAGCTTCAGAGTCCTCAACTGATTCCAACAGGTCTGCCCTGTTATTTAAAAATGTTAAAAATTGAGACAACGTAGGTGCCTCGGATAGTGTATTTCTAAATTCTTCCCAATGAATGTAAGTTTTAGTATCTAATTTGTTAGCCATTATATGAATAATTAAGGTGTCCCAGTGTTGCGTGGGTTGTCCTAAAATTGTTAAAGCCCTCAGATTCTTCGTGGTACTATCGACTAAATGACGTACCGCTTTGCTAGACTCCTTTTCTATTTGGTCGACATTATATAAAGATTGAACATGATTATTTACCAAAAGACGATTATTATTATACCGCTTCGTCAATAGATCCCAGGCGATGCTATAGTTACCAGAATTAAAATCCAAACTTCTAATAATTAAGGCAGCAGCACCCTTTAACGAGGACCTAAGATAGTGGAATTTACTTATATCGTCCAACAACGTGTTCTTGTGTATTAGAGAATCAAACGTGTCTCTAAACTCGAGCCAATGCTGATAGTTTCCATCAAAATGTGGCAAACTAATCTGAGGTAATTTCACAACACTGTGTTTAGACTGTGTGACGTCATTAATATCTGAAGCTTGTACAGAACTCACCAACACGCTGGCTCTTCGCTCGCCATGCTGACGTCGCACCTCGCGGGCCGATGACACCAAGGAGAAGTATTGGTTTTGAAAAGCTTCACGATCACTCAATGCCTCGGTGGAGTCCTCCATCAGAAGCTCGATATCCCCCTGTATTTTATCATAGTCATTGTATAATAAATCCATTTTATCAATTCGGGTTTCTAGCTCTGTTACTTGTAAATCACTTAATCGTGAACAAGAAAGGACTACATTTAAATAGTTACTGAAAAGCGTAAGCTTAGCTTTACAGCTGGCACGTTTCTTAACTAATTCTTTAAGTTTAGTCTCCATTATGAAAGTAAATAAATTGCAAATCGACAGGTGTCCACCTTAAGTAAATGAGCGGTCAAGCTACCACGTGTCCGTGCAAAACGGGTTTCTTGTTTTTTTTGCTTGCTACTAAATATTTATGCAGCGATGCATCTACAATTAATTGAGCGATAAGCACGCCAGAAAAATGTGAATCGAGATGAATGCGATGACTAATAAATATGGAAAAAAATGGAACAGATTTAAATGGCCAACAAAGCAGAGAATTTACGAAACTATAAAAAAGGGACAGAAATGTTTAATTGGAACGACACACTATTTACCGATCAGTAGCCACAGTTAGCCGTTCGTTCTCGCCGATTTTTTCTTTCTCGGAGATGTGTGCGCCACGTTGGCCTTTTCATGCACTGCAAAATGCCCACGCCCGTGGTATTGCACGTCTGCCTCCGTTGTTTGCTTCTTTCTTGCGAAGGACCAATATGTTGGGGAGAGTTTTTTGGACTGTATAAATGATGATGCTGATTAAAGGTACTGGTTTATTCGACGGAAGGTAGGTGTGCCTTTACAAATATACGGCGCGCAACGCGTACAGTGCTCACAGCTAATCGAGTCGAAAGGAACGGGCCGCGATCCTCGTCCTCGTATATGTTGATCCCCGCGCAGCGCTGTCCCCCCTCTGATGCCACCGCCAGTGCCGCCTCCATCGACGTCATCGAGATGTCCGAGACGTTTCCGAACAGTATCATTTTACTAAGAGCTATAATTGAGTGAACAATAAAAGCAGTACACTTTGACGTTAGAGTATAAATGAAATAAAGTTCGAATGTTTACGTACCTAGTATTGGTCTATGGCAGACGTTCCTAAACTTATTTCGTACAACGCCCAGTTTGAAAATCAGTTATTTTGTAGCGCTCCCATTTATATTCCGTGTAGTGACATTATTTGGGACAAACCTCGCTTTAAATAAATAATCCCACTTTCGATAAAGTGTTCAACTTGGTCTCAGCAATAGTACATATTTGGGAGGTGGAGGGGGGGGGGGGTAGGAGCAATCATCAAATGCCTTCCCCTTCCCCTTCCCTGTGTAGGGGAAAGTAGACTCTAATTGACATTGACACTGCTCATAGAGTAGGAAGGTAGATTTTACGACATGAAAACTAAAGGATTACACATTTCAAAGCAGTACTCTTTGACAAAACACCTCTCAATTCAATACACTAGTTGTTTTTTTATTATTCCTATTACAGAACTGTAAAGTTAATTAAAAATTACTAAGAAAAAATGTCATTTAAACTGTCAAACACCAGGCGGTTGCCGGTGACCGCAACCTATTGTTCTATAATTGTGTCTACAAAACCGGTACTCGACGAGTTAAACCAGAATTATTTTTGGCAAACCCATGTTTTTTTTATGGCATAAGCCGGTAAACAAGCAAACGGATCACCTGATGGTAAGCAATCGTCGCACATGGACACCTGGAACACCAGAGGCGTTACAAGTGCGTTACCGGCCTTTTCGTGCCGAAGCATGGCTCTCCTAAACTTAAATGTTTAAATTACAATCAAAATAACACATCGTCTAATTCATACGCTACCCTATCTAAAAAAAAGATCATGTTTTAGACAGATTTAGTTCAAGTCTAAGCTAGAATATCGTAACATGATGTAACCAGCAGATTTTGTGGTCCTTCAAACGTGCAGAATTTATACACAAACATGTAACGGAGATTGGACCTTGGATTTATAACATTTTTATATCTTGTATTTATATTTTCTGGGCTGTCATAAAAGGGATCTTGTATTATGATGAATATTTTTTGTTATGGTGGCTGCTAGCCGCTGTTTTACATCATACGTAGTTTAGGACATGATGTAAATCTGACATTTTGTGTTTTATTTCTTGAAGGGGTCGTAGGAATTGTGCTTTGTTCTTGTCTTTGTTCCATAAGGGTGGGTGGCAACTTCAGAGTGCTAATTTGACTTTTGCAGTTTCCATCCAAATCATATAAAATTCTCACATAGTTGTTTATAGTTACAAATACATCGTTGCCAACCAAAAGCACCTATTCAGCGACTAACCTTTTCTCAGAAACTCTTTAATTGTCGCAACTCCTTGTATTAGTTACTCCGAAGTGTTGCCTAGCCTAAAAATGATTAGCAAATCATTTGGCCTACATAAACGAAAAATAAATAATCAAGGTCACAACGAACTCACAATAAAGAAACCACCATAGTTGGCACTACTAGTGACCTTTTTTTTAATCGGAGAAAATCATCTTTTTTTTTTTTTTTTTTTTTTTATATTTTCTGCGACTTAGCAATCTGTGATCATACACA